TTTCACATCTTCCTCCTTTCACTGAAATCTCATGGTTTTGCCCTTGGATCAGGTGGAGCGGACACTCTCTCCGCTCCCCAACATCCACAGTGGAGACCTTTTGATTCTCTCCATCATTGAAAACATCTACACCTTCCGGAGGGAAAATGCTCATTCCTCTAATATTCCTCTAGCAATATAAAACGTCCTTAGATTTTTATCGTATGCACAAATATCTCATATGAAAATAAAAATCCCCCTAGAAACAACCAACCCTTTTTTTTTCTTTTAAGTCAAGGTTTAATGCATCGAGGCTGGACATGCGACGGACACTTGGACAGGAGCAGGGACCATGTCTCAGCTAACCTCAAAAAAAAATAACAGCAAGATGTTGAAAAAAAGAGGGGATACGATGATAGAAGGGCTCTCACCAGGGAGCAGCTTGGATGAAGCTGCTGGAGGAGCAAAGTGAAGACTATTAAATGATCTACGCGATAACGTGAGGAATTAGCCTTTTTCCACCACCGATGAACCCACGCTGTAGCGTTTAACTCCTTTCTTCCCTTGAGTAGTCTCCGATACACACACAAAAAAAAAAGGTTAAATCTCACATGGGAGGATGCCCATGGTCTCATTTCTTCTCATCTTGCATGATCTTGGTACCAAGGCAAGCCAACGCAAGCCAACGCAAGCCAACGCAAGCCAAGGCAAACCAAAAGGCAAGGCAAGCCAAGGCAAGGCAAGCCAAGGCAAGGCAAGCCAAAGCAAGCCAAGCCAAGGCAAGCCAAGCCAAGCCAAGGCAAGCCAAGGCATTTCTCCTCTTCCAGGCACTTGGGAGGTTTTTTTCTCCTCTGCATCACCTTTGCCGGTCAAGGAGGCTTGATGCCTCCTCGAGGGGCTTTGCACACTCAGAGCATGGGGACGAGCCATCTCCCATGCCCACACTCACGGGAGCATCAGTGCTGGAGTCTTCCTCCGAGCTCTTCCCACATTTTGAGCGTTCTCCAGTTTTCTGTCCTCTGTGTCCCCGCTGATGGACGATGAGGCTGGATTTCCTGGTGAACCTCTTCCCACACTCGGCGCAGGGGTAGGGCTTCTCGCCCGTGTGGGTTCGCTGATGGGCGATGAGGTCTGAGCTCTGCCCAAAGCTCTTCCCACACTCGTGGCACTTGTAGGGCTTCTCCCCCAAATGCCATTTCTGGTGTTTAACGAGGCTGGATTTATTGCAGAAGAACTTCCCGCACTCAGAGCAGTGGTAGGGCTTCTCCCCCGTGTGGAAGCGTTGGTGGGTGATAAGGTCCCCGCTCTGGCCAAAGCTCTTCCCGCACTCAGAGCACTCATAGGGTTTCTCCCCCGTGTGCAACCGCTCATGCCTGAAGAGTCCGTACCTCCCCCGGAAGGATTTTTCACACTGGGAGCACTGGTAGGGCTTCTCCTCGGTGTGTGTTCGCTGATGGATTGTGAGCTCCGATCTCCGGGCGAAGGTTTTCCCGCACTCGTGGCAGGTGAAGGGTTTCTCCCCCGTGTGTACGATCTGATGGGTGAAGAGGTTGGACCGTTGGCTGAACCTCTTCCCACACTCAGAGCACTCGAAGGGTTTCTCCCCCGTGTGAATGCGCTGATGGACGATGATGTCCGAGCTGCGGGTGAACCTCTTCCCGCATTCCAGACACTTGTAGGGTTTCTCTCCCGTGTGCACTCTCTCATGCCTGATGAGGGTGGACCTGTCCTTGAAGAACTTCTCGCACGTGGAGCACTGGTAGGGCTTTTCCACCATGTGGCTTTTCTGATGGGAACTAAGGTCCGAGCTCTTCCCAAACTCCTTTCCGCACTCTTGGCATTTAAACATCTTTCCTCCTCTGTGCAACCTCTGATGACAAATGAGCTCTGACCTGTCCTGGAAGCATTTCTTGCAGTGGGAACATTCGTAGAGACTTTCTTCTGCAAAGAGATGCCGATCCCCCTTGCCATGGACTAATTCATCCATCTGCTGCATCCCTGGGCATCCCTCCATTCCCCAGTCGCTCTCACAAGCTTTTCCATGGTTATTCTCTTCAGATTTTACCGCTGTTTCACCCACTTTGGCTCCCTCAGGACATCCCTGCTCCACGCAGCATCCTTCATCCTCCCTCCGCATCCCGACTCCTGCAGGGTTAGATGGAGATTAAGTTATGTTTTGCCCCGGGATGGAACGGTACCTGATACATCGGTGACTGTTTCCAGGGACCCTCGAGGAGTTGTGGGATAGAGGAATGACCACGGAGGGACGATTTCCAAAGGACCACCCCACCAGTATGATCCTTGTCTGTTGGTGGGGTGAAACGAAGGCAATGCCTGGTGGCTCCTCTCCCACACCCCAACTTCTCACCTGTCTGGATGCGCCCGGGGCTGCCCATCTCCTCTCTCCCCGTGGGACCAGGTGCCACCGTCTCTCCCCTTTCTTCCATCCAGAGGGTGATTTGGGGCTGGAAAGCCCTGTTTGGGGGGCAGACACACCGCTGTCAGCGCCCCCTTCCCCAGCAGTGCTACAGCCAAATCGTGGGTGGGACACCCGCTCTCCCCCGGGGCTGGGGGATTATTTTCCACCACCAATCTCGCAGCCCCCTGAGCGACTCTTTATCCTCTCCTTGGGATGAGGGATGCTGGGGGTCACCAGACCCGGGGCTGGGGGATGCTGGCCTGTCCCCCTTCGCTCTCCCTGCAGTCCCTGGGATGCTCAGCCTGGCTCAGGCCGGCTCTGCCTGCGGCAGACGCGGCCGCTCAGCGTTGCTGGCCGAGTTGCTGTGCAGAGGCACAGGAAAAAGCCAGGGGGGAGGCGGGGGGGACAGTTCCGGCTGCGCCGAAGCTGTTTGGGAGATGCCTGTGCTTATTTACCAGCTCCCTTCATCCCCAGCTGCTCTCCACCCCTCGGCCACAGATGGGAGAGGAGATGAGGACCAGCAAGATGCACCTCTGCAAAAAATAAAAAATAACTGAGGGGGACGGAAACACGGTAAAGGCTGTTCCGCTGCCTCGCTGCGGCGTGGGTGTGAGTGCCGTGCCGTGGGGCGAAGAGAGAGGCCCGCAACAGGGCTTTGGGCTTTTGTTCACAAATAAACCGTATGGCTTTCTGCAGAAGCCTGGGTTTCCTGGAAGCGATGGGGACCCCGTCCCAAACGTCCTGAGGCTTTTCCAAGGTACGATGGCGACTTGCTCGATTCCCAGCCTGCAGGATGGCCTTACCTGCACCAGTCGGGCTGGAAATGAGCAGCTTGCTTGAACTCCTCTCCCGGGACCGTGTCCTTGAGTGCAGGCTGGAGCAAAAGCATCGCTGTATCCCTTTTGCTCAGGCTCCAACAACTCACTGGCACTCCAAGGGGGTCGGATGCCGGCCCTTCCCTCTGAGCGCTGCCTGGCTCCATTGTACCCTTTGCTGCTTGCACACAGCTTTAATAACCAGCTTATTTCCCACCCCACAACCTTCACAGTGCCCATCCCACGCGGCATATTGTACCCTCTCCCCGGTCCCTGCAGCACCCGGCCAGGGGCTGCCCGTGGGACCCGGAGCAGAGGTTTGCAGGGCAGTGCAGCGCAGTGGGGTGCTGGGAAGTGCAGTGCAATGCAGCAGGGTGCTGAGCAGCGCAATGCAGTGCAGTGGGGTGCTGGGCAGAGCACACTGAGCAGGCTGACATGGTCCCTGCCCTGGGTACAACCCTTAGCTCTTTCAGAATCTCGAGCTTGCCTCTCCAGGGCAGACGCAGAGCCCGCCATGGTGCTTCGAACTCTTTTCATGCCACCAGCCCCCTACCCACACCCCCATCGCAACAGCGGGTACCTGCAATGGGATGGATCAGGACCCTGAGCTGCACTGCTGGGGCTCACCTCTGTGTGATACACCAGTCTGCACTGGGATTGGGACTGCGGCACACCCTCGGGGGGCAGCAGTTGCTCCCTGACAGCATGGGTCTGGCTGATGGAGAATGAGGCTGACTACACCGCGCTGCACTTCTGGGCAAAACGCAGTGCCCTGGGAACAACCGCAGCCTGCTGGAAGGTGCCCGGCCGTGGTCCAGGCCTCCGACCCCGCAGCGCTCATCCTGCAGGGAGCTGCCCCCAGACGCCTGCTCCCACCACTGCTCCAACTCCCCTGCAAAACCCCTGCACAGGCAGCAAGGCATCAGGACAAAAAGCCCCCAGCACCCATCGCAGCCAGGCTCCACATTCACCTTTATTGAAGCCCAGGTTGCCGCTCCTGGGCAGGACGCGGTGCGTACAAGGGAAGGAAGAGCCCAAACCCGCTGCTCAGCACCGACAACATGTCCACAAACTCCAACCCAACCAACCAATGCCGTTTGCGATGCCACACATCGTGGCCAGGCAGCCCCTGTCCCCCTGCCCCTCACTCCCTGTCGGCTCCGCGGGCTTGGGCAGGGCAGAGAGGGAAAGCGGCTCCTGCGGGATGGAGGAGAGGAGAGCGGGCAGGGACTGGAGAAGGGCAGGATCTGCTGGAGGCGGTGGACGAGATGGAAGGGGGGCAGATGGTTGGGGTGGTTTAGCCCCTGAGGTAAAGCTGGGTTTTCTTGGTCCCCACCCAAAACCACGGACGGATGATCTCCCCGTTGAACAGGGCTGGTGGGAAAGTGAAGATCTCGACCCCACTCTCGGCATTGATGAAAGTCACCAGCCCCTGTGTGCAGTCCAGACAGACCAGGATTCTCCTGGGAACCAGGGACAGGGACAGGACTATGGGAGGAGAGGTAAGGGCTGCAAACTCCCCATTATAGTGCTCTACCGCCCAGATCCCTTAGGCTGGTGGGAAAGTGAAGATCTCGACCCCACTCTCGGCATTGATGAAAGTCACCAGCCCCTGTGTGCAGTCCAGACAGACCAGGATTCTCCTGGGGACTGGGAACAGGGACAGGACTGTGCGAGGAGAGGTAAGGGCTGCAACCTGCCTTTTACTGTGCCTCACCGCCCAGATCCCTCCGTTAGGGCTCCTGTCCGCATACCCCTTCCTCCTCACAGACTGCCTGGCCACCCCCACAGCCCACCTTGAATCACCTCCAACCTTCCCCTCCACCTCCACCTCCCAGCACTGCCTCCCCTCCTTGAACCCCTCCCGGCCCAGCACACAGCACCAATAATCAAATCTCTCAGGGATGTCAGGCAGGTCCGGCCGATTCCTTTCCTGTGTGGCTCTTCTCAAATCATTCGACAGGACAAGATCGGAACGAGCCGTGTCCAGATCCAGGGTCACCACATCTGCAGGGGACAGGAGGAGCCAGAGCATCAGGGGCAGAGCTCAGTGCTGGGCAGGGTTTCCCCACCCTGGGGCCGGGATCTGCCCCGCGGGGCAGGAGACCGGGCATCTCCTTCCTCCAAAGCATCCCCATCACGGGGCCGGCCCCAGCGCTGCCACGGCTGAGCTCGGTCCCGTGGGAAGAGGCAACGGTGGGGCTGCAGCCCCGGCAGGGAGGAGCGGGATGGGGAGGCAGTGGCTGGGGCTGGGCAGTGCGCGCGGTGCCACGGCGGGACATGGCTCCTCTGGGCCCAAGGGTGGAACTCAGAGAGGGTTGGAAAGGCAAGAAAATGGGGCGAGAGAGAGGCTGGGGCCATGGTGCGGGGGGTCTGAGTCACCAAACACACCCAGGCACGGCCAGTCCCTTGCACCGGCCAGCCCAGTTACGCCTCGCACAGAGGGAAAGGGAGGAAAGCGGCACCCAAAGGGGCAACCAACTAGACAATTACCTGGATTTGCAGGAAGCAGAAACTTTCTCCACGCTACAAGGAGAGACAAGAGCTGGTCACATCCCGCAGCCGCTCCCCAGCGGCTCCGGGCAGGAGAGAGGGGCCAGCCCTGGGCTGCTCTCCCTGAGCTGCCCACCCTCCCAGGCACATTACCTTGGGGCTCCCCAGGGCCAGGCGATGCAGGGATGCCGGGCAAGGAGGGAAAGGACCAAGCAGAGAGCTGCGAGAAGAGGACCTCATGCTTTGCTGGATCAAGGCAAAAGTAAAGTTTGATCAGAGGGGGGCAGCTTCTCATCCCATGGCTGCTCCTGCAAGAGCTTGGGCAGACCCCAAACTCCTTGTCTTTGGGGAGTGGGAAAAGACCCCCTTGCTCCTGGGAAGGGCTCCCTGCCAGCCTGTCCCCCCATCAGCCCAGCCAGGCACGCGGGAGCTAAGTCCCAACTTCAGGAGCCATCCAAAGCCAAGTCCCTCCCAGGGGGGCTCCTTGCCCAGGAGGTTTTGCCGGTGGAAGGGGCCAGAAGGACTCACCCAGCTCTCTGATCAGCATCACTGGAAAGCAAAGGCAGAGGAAGAGGTGGTCAGGAGAGCAGCTTGCTTCATCCGTGGGAACATCTCAAGAGGGTCTCTTGCCCCTTCCCACCAGCCACACGGCCCGGCCGTGCTCCCTGCTCTCCCACCCGCACCCCGGGGCCTCTTCCCCTTCCCTCCTTTGCCCAAACACCTTCTTAATGAAGGCAAAACCATTGCTCGCACACAACCCTCGGGCCCTTCGGCATGCGTCCGTGGGCCAGGGCTCGGCCTCACTCCGCACCGATCCCCCCGCTCCATCCCCCCCATTCCAAACTTACCTTTCCTTCGGAACAGGTAACTCTTCCCCTTCCCTCCTTTGCCCAAACACCTTCTTAATGAAGGCAAAACCATTGCTCGCACACAACCCTCGGGCCCTTCGGCATGCGTCCGTGGGCCAGGGCTCGGCCTCACTCCGCACCGATCCCCCCCGCTCCATCCCCGCCATTCCAAACTTACCTTTCCTTCGGAACAGGTAAGCACTGAGGCCGGCGAACACAGCTGAAAGCACGAGGAACACACCCAGAGCTATCATCCAGTGCTGGGCGTTGTGGAAAAAGGGAGCTGAGAAACAAAAAACATCAGGAAAAGGGCTCATTTTACACGGCCGTGTAGGAGGAGAAGAAAAAAAAAAAGAAAAAAACCCCAAACTTGTAGCTCATCAAAACCTTGTCCTGGGAGCCCTGGGCTGAAGGGGACAGAGTCCTCTCTGTCCCACGGAGATACCGATGCTAACCTGAAGCACACCAGGCTCCGGTTGTCTCGGGGGCTAAAACCCATCAGAAGGGGCACAGCCCTCCCGTTCCCCCACACCCCGCACGCTTCACCAGGAGCCCGGCATCAAAGCTGCTCAAAGCAGCGCAGCAAACCCCAGCCCTGCTGCCCGCGCCGCAGGGGCTGGCTGCAGTCGTTGCACCTGAGATGTGCAGGGACGACGCCTGCTCCTGGTCGAGGCGGCTGTTCCTGACCACGCAGGTCCGCTTCCCATCTCCCTTCCCGGTGACAACGATGACATCTTCGATGTCAAACAGGCCCCTCTCATCCGAGGAACGTCTCTGGGCGAGCGAGGGGAGATGCTGACCGCCGGCATCTTTCCACAGCACCGCCGGTTGCGGGTACCAGCCGGACGATCGACACACCACGCGGATGCCTCCGTCCTCGTAAGCCTCCAGAGAGAGGCGAGGGACAGAGCCTGTGGCTGGGGGAAGAGCCCGTGGTTGGGGGTGAGTAGAGATGCACTCAGCTCAAAGGCGAAGACTGGACGCGATGCCAGACACCTCACAGGTCCCCAGGGGGCTGTGGGAGTGGGCACGGCACATGCTCCTCACACCACCAAAACCACCCCGACCTGTGCAGGAACCAGACAGCACTGATGCCAAACGCCCCCACATCTCCCATAAAACAGCCTGGCCGAGGAAGACCAAGCTGCCCAACATCAGCACCTCGAGCCTTCCAGACAACACCCCAGGTCTGCTAGGGCACAAAAAGCAAAGCAAAGCCAAGCCCCAGCTGCTCAGACCTGGGAAGAGGTCTCTTCCCAACTCCAGACACAGCGTTAGGCGCCATCCTTGGCATGGTTGGCAGCCCGGGCTCTGAGGCGAAGGAGCTGCTCAGCAGCTTGTCCCCAATGCCTTCCCAACATCGGGAGGACGCCCTTCACGGACACCGCAGGCACCCAGCAAAGCCCTCGTGTCCATGCAGCTCTGCCCCCAAAAACACCTCCAGCCCCACGTGCGTGCTCCCTCCTGGGGAAGAGCCCCCTCGGACCCGACCTCTTTCAACGGCTCTTGGCCTTCAGCACTTCATCGACAGACGTGAGGATGGGACAGAGGTGCGGGAGGGACACACAGACCCAGGGTCAGCTGGACCATCCCCTGGAAACACCGCACCGGCCACAAACCTGCCACCTCCAGGTCCACTGTAGCTTCTCCATAAGAGTCAGCGTCTTGCACCGTGCAGACGTACTGGCCATCGTCAGAGGGTCTCAGCCTGGTGATTTGCAAGTCCAGGATTCCATTGGAGAGATGTGCAGACGTACTGGCCATCGTCAGAGGGTCTCAACCCAGTAATTCGCAAGTCCAGGATTCCATTGGAGAGACCATCTCTGGCCAACTCTGTCCTGCCAGCGTATTGCTGCATCTGCTCCACATACCGGTCCTCTCCATTTCGGTAGTGGTGCACCGTTTCAGACAACTGGTGCCGCATCCACCTGATCTCGAAGCTCCGAGCATCCATGCCAGGGGACAAATAACATGGCAGCACGACGTCCTCCCCCACGGTGGCACGGAGAGGGAGCTCTGGTCCCACAGCACGACGTCCTCCCCCACGGTGGCACGGAGAAAAAAGGCTGGTCCCTCCACTCTGAACTGAGCTTGGTGATGGAGAAGGACACAGAGACACGGAGATTGTGCATGCGTTAATTTACGGGCATTGCATGGCAAGGGGCGAGCCTGGCGTGAAACCCACCCGCGGCCGAGCTCTGGGCTCAGCTCCCGCCCCATGGCGGCTCCCCTGCCCCACAGCTGCCCCCCGGAGCAGGCAAAAGCCCCCGCCAGCCCTTTAGGATCCCTACCTGATCCCAGCCGGAGGACATGGAGAGCCACAAAAGAAGTCAGGAGGCCCCTGTAGCTCATGGGGAACCACATCCGCGGCGGGAGCTGGAGAAGAGGGTGGGGAAGGGAGGCAGAGGGAGGGCAGCGGGGGGTTACAGCCGCGGGAGAGGGGATGGGGAAGAAGGGCTGCACCTGCCCCCAAAAGAAGCTCCAGAAATCCCACCAAACCGCCTGCACGAGCACCCTGACGTTGGAGGAAACCGTTGCTCCAGGGCAGGACGGGACCACGCGCAGCTCCCCAGTGCAGCCCCCAGCTCTGCCCCGCTCCCCCTCATTCTTCTACACCCCTTACGAGCCTCTGAATTCAGTTACATAGTCTACGTGCCCTGCGGAAAGAGAAGTCACTCACGGGACGGGTACGAGCTGCGAGAGGCACCAGGCTAAAGGCTACACCAAACGTCTCCAACTTACTCCCAGTTTCTGGGTGCAGCACTACTGGCTTTGGAGTGCAGTGAGATAAGGGGAAAACCCCCTTAATCTCCTGCTGACAGCACAGCTCCTGATGTCCCTCGGTGTCATTTGCAGTCCCCTCCTTGGCACTGGCTCCGAGCAGAAAAACAACACTTGCCCAACAAGCCTCTAGACCGGGCTCCTGCCCTGCAGCTCGATGGGGGCTTCCCAGGCAGGGCTGAGCAGGACCTGCCACGCCCCAACGGGGAAATTAAGAGATGGGGTTAATTGCCAGCCCAGCAGCAGCCTGCTTTGTGCTATGCCCGACACACGCCCCGCTTTCGCACGCGGTGCCGCTGCCACACTCGCCCAGCTGCTCCCAATGGCCAACGGAAAAGGCTCTCTGCATGCAAGATCCACGCCACGCAGTCCAAAAGCAGCCAGGCGTCCCCACGAGGGTCCGTCTGTCCGGGAGACCTCATCCAGCGACGCTCTCGCAGAGAGACGCTCTTGCTTTGCGCAGATAAGGCGTTCCTTTTCTGTCATTAGTCGGGATACCTCCGCGGGTGCAGGACACAGCGCCTGTTGCCTTCTGCTCTCTCAGGAGGCCTCTTTCTTGCAGCACTTTCCTTGGTTCGCACTCTCTGAGGATGCCCCAGGCTCCCACGCGTGCTTATCCAGGATGCGCGGGGCTCCTGGGCCGGCAGACATCTTCTGTCGCTCTTTTTCCCCACGATAACCAGGCGGCCTTTAGGGCTGCTGCCGTGGTGGGGGCCCTGGTGGTGTCTCCTGCCGCCCCCATCTCCGGCTGCTCCTGGCGCTGCCCTGAGCAGGTACGATGCTGTCATGTGGCAAAAAGCCAAGCTGCGTTGGAGGTTGAGCGTACACGAGGGGTACGTGCATGGGGAAATGGTCTTGGGGAGCTGCGGCGCAATGGGGCTGTGCCTGGCCCCGCTGTGGGGTGGCTGTGCCCCCCAGGGCTCCCCGTGTGGGACCAGGCACCGAGTCTGCTCTGCTCCCCTTCTCCAGGATGTTCGTAGTGCAAAGAGTGTTGCCGGGTGCAGCTTGGCCACTGGACCCAGCATGGCCACGCTGCTCTGGTACTGGGGGAGCCCAGAAGTGGGCACAGGGCTCCTCCTCCAGATGTGCTCTCCTGCCTGCTCCAGCTGTGGCACCCCGCCACGCTCCAGCTGTGCTCCCCGCAGAGCCCAAAAGCGCCCTGGCAGCGGTGGGATTCGAACCCACGCCCCCAAAGAGACTGGAGCCTTAATCCAGCGCCTTAGACCGCTCGGCCACGCTACCCTGCGGCAAAAACTTGCGCTCCTTATGGGAAACCATCAAACCCAAAACTCGGCGAATTCTGCAAAATTCACAAGGGGCTGGTTTCAAGGGATGGGGGGGGACAGGACGGGGGTCTCAGCCCTGCCCTGCCGCCCTGCGGCTCACACTCCCCTCCTCGTCCCTTTGCCAGCCAAAGGACCGCGCTCTGCGCAGGTGACACCCACGAGGGAGCTGGGGGACAGTTCCCAGATGCCCAGAACCTCCCAGTTTTGGTCTCTTCCCCCAGTTTTCTGCCCAGCTTCTCTTTCCCAACTTACACAAAAACCCTGGCAGCCTTTTATTTTTTTAATGCATTAAATAAACCCTGGAATTTGCAAAGAAACACTGGATGTTTACAGACACTTATCCCGAATGCCCATGATTGTTTTTTTCCTCAAATACAGGTGAATTAAAATTGCATCGGCACCCCCAGGAAAAAAAACTGAAGAGTTTCGTAAGGGAAAAAATTATTGTTTTCTGCAGTGGTCCAGTTGTCATCCGTTTTGGGGAAACACCACTGCTCTAACCCCAACATCCCACCAACGATGGGACCCGAGCTGTGTCCTCCCAGGATTTGGAGGTGGGGACGGGCAGCCGGCTGCCCTCATTCCTG